CTCTTTCCTGCCCAGGCAGGGGTCGAACTTGATGATCCAACCCAAATATCTGTGAATCTATGAATACATATTGGGCGAGGAGATACTAGATTTTCCTTTTTAATAAATGCAATGCCTGTGGGAGGAGCTGTGTGAAACTGGCTCTTAGTGGGATTTATTACTTTCTACAAGCAAAAATGTTCCGGTTTTTCTTTTGTGAAGCAATGTTTTCATTTCAAAATTGACCTGTATTTTTTTTTAAAGGGGGTTAAATACCTCCCAAAATGTTTGTTTATGAGGTTGAAAGTATTTGGGGATAAAATGAAAATGAAATTTCTTTAATTGAAAACCATGAACATTTTTCATTTTAGGTCAATGGGAATGGACTTTGGTTTGGGTTGGTGGCCACTGAACTCAAATATCCTTTCTGCGACAGCCCTAAATGGTTTACAGTTTGCAGTATTCAGGATCTGGGACCATTTAATCTGACCTCTCGGGGGATATAAAGCCGTAGCACCACTCATGCCTGCAGTCCAAGAAATTACGCTTCCTCCGATGCAGCTCAGCACAACTCTGAAACTAGACCACGTCTTTTAGGAAGCCTCAATCTCCACTGAACGACTCCAAAGGACAGTGCATTTACCACTTGCTTTGGCAAGTTGTGCTAATTATTCTCCCTGTTAAAACCCAAAACATATTTCTATTTTAAAATGTCTACTTTCAGCTTCTAGCCAATGAGTTCAGCCATATTTTTGTCTGTTCATAGAAAACGAGGGTTGAAGGGAGCTCAGGAGGTCACATCTAGTGCAACCCCTGCTCCAAGCAGGACCAGCCCCAACTACATCATCCCAGCCAAGGCTTTGTCTAGCCGGGTCTTGAAAACCTCCAAGGATGGAGACTCCCCCACCTCTCTGGGTAACTTGTTCCAGTGTTTTACAACCCTTGTAGTCAGAAAGTTTTTCCTAATATCCAAACTAAACCTCCCTTGCTGCAACTGGAGCCCATTGCTCCTTGTCCTGTATCTGCCCCCACTGAGACCAGTCCAGCTTCATCCTCTTTGGACCCACCCTTCAAGGTAGTTGATCTGCCAGAGGGCCACACTATCAAAATCTCCCCCTGTGCAGGTAGTTGGGACCAGATTTTGACGATGTCCAGGCTTTTAAGTGGGAGTGAGGCAACCTGCTGCTTTTGAACATCTCACTGCATGCCTAATCTCTGCCTTCGGTGACTTCATTTGGCCCCGAAAGACTGTGATCAAATCAATCGCCTTGCTAGAGCCGAATACGTTACGCAGTCACTGCCAGCTCCATGAGCTACACACATATTTATTCTTTCTTGAAAAGCAGCCATGCTTTAAACCAACAACAGCAAAAGGAGCATTTGCTTCCTCAACTGGAATGAATTAAGTAGTAAACTCTTATCACAGAAGTTGCACTATGAAAAAATTGAACCAAAATGTACAGTTTGAGTCTCCAAAGAAGAAGGTACATTACACGTTCAAGCTCACTTATCTTTATGGAAAATCAGCTAAATGTTTAGCCTGGTATTTTATCGCCAAACGCTGCCAAGCTCCGGGATGATGACACTTGCCAATAAAACCTGGCAAATAAATTCTCTCTCCTTAGACTCTCTGGTCTATAAACTGTCTACTCTATTGACGCCAGGAAGAGAGGGGACATTGAGGGCAACAAGAATGAACTATGTAACACACGCTGTCTGAGCTTTTGAAAAACAAGGGAAATAACAAGAAAACTTTCAGAAAACGGACAAGACTAATTCACATGTATCCAGTCTTTTTCAGCCCAACTGATCCCTTCATTCATGTAATTCTCTGCAGAACTGCTAAATTAAGGCCACTGGAGTGATGTGTGGGAGTGAAATCTGGTATGAAACAGCAGTGGAGATGGAGAATCTTTTCTTGTGCACGAGCAAGTGTTAAGGGACGTCTGACGTCCCTGCAGCCAGAACCTCAAATTTAGGTTTTGTCCCATAAAGCTATATAGAACAAACTGCTTGGAACGTCATTTTTCTCCTGCTCAAAGATGAGCAGCTGAGGTGACTCTGCCAGGATTTGAACATGTGGCTCCTGAGAGCAGAAATCCCAGATCTATTGAAGTCACTAGAAGGGATTTCCCTAACAATTCATTGAGAAGCAACACCAGATATACAGGGAGACTGGGTTCTCCGGGAGAAACTGAGCAGCACATCCCTGTTTCACTGATGCATTTGCCTGCAGCGTTCTTTAGAAGCTGAGAGAACAAGTACAAGCTGTTCACACACACACACACACACACACACACACACACACACACACACACACACACACACACGTGCGCGCGCGAACAAGTACAAGTTGTTCTCTCACTCTCACACGTGATACCCGAGAATTGCTCATGTAAGAGGCTGTGTGGACACCCCTACCAGCCATCCCAGCCAAGGCTTTGTGTAGCTGGGTCTTAAAAACTTCCAAGGACGGAGACTGCCCCACCTCTCTGGGTAATTCATTCCAGTGCTTCACCACCTTCCTCATAAGAAAGTGTTTGCTAATACCCAACCTCAACTTCCCTTGCTGCAGCTTGAGCACATTGCTCCTTGTCCTGTCGTCTGCCCCCACGGAGACCAGTCCAGCTCCATCCTCCTTGCAACCCCCTGCAGGGAGGTGAAGGCTGCTATTCAATCCCTCTCGGTTTTGTGCAGACCAAAAAAGCCCAGTTCCCTCAGCCTCTCCTCACCAGTCATGTCCCCCAGCCCCCAACCATTTCCACTGGACTCTCTCCAACTTGTCCACATCCTTTCTGTAGCGGGGGCCACAACTGGACACAGGACTCCAGATGTGGCCTCCCCAGTGCTGAATAGAGAGCTGCCCTCGATCTGCCGGTGACACTCCTGCCGATGTACCTGTACTCCTACCAAGAACACCATGGTCTTTGATCCCCAGGAGAAGAAAGTGCATCCTTACGTTTTTAAGATGGCCAGTGGACACAGAAAACAGGTTTGCATCTTCCTGCCCATAAAGCACACAAGCAAGCCACACTGCAGCACACACATGCACTCTACTTTGGCCCAGAGGTTAAAGCTGCCCCCACCCCACTTCATCTTGTCTTTGGCATATTGCAATTTTCCCAAGAAAAATCTCAAGCAACCTTCCCCAAGTGCTTCTTTAAGCAAGGTGGGTGGGGGAGAGCTACTTCCAAATGCCGCTCCCTGTAATTTCTGGCTGCAAGTGCCAAAGGCTTTAGATATGTTTGCATTGAAAATTAGAGTTGGTGTCTCCCATTCTCTCTCTAAGAGGTAGTTAAGACCATTCTTAGAAAGGCAGAAGTCTGAAAAAATATCAGCCCAAAACACAGCAAAACAAAATCAAATGAAAGCCAAACTTACCCTGAGAGAAAAGACCAGGGCAACTATTCCAAGTGGGAAGCAGCAGCATAACAGGTTAAAGATGGACAGAGCAAGGTACGTAGGGACATGCCTTTGAGCTGTGTCCATCCTGAGGAGCTGTCCTGTTTCTGCTGTCAGCTGCTGAGGCCAGGAAGACTCTGAAGAGTGGTAACACTGGGCCCTCTGTTAAAGTCATCTGAGGAAGGAAGGGGGAGTATCCAAAGGAAATTAAAGTTGAGCCCAGCGTGTAATGCACACTCCTCCTTCCCCCATGATCCCAGCAGCTTCCAAATGGTTTCAAACCAAGTTACGCTCCTTTTTCCACTTTAATTTCTCTGATGAAGCTGGCAGAGCCTTGCCATTACATTCTCAGATGGTGAGGGCACTTGGCCAGCTGTTGATACTGTGAACAGAACCCAGTTTCGAAGACAATCGGCGATTCTGCTTTCTCACAATGCAGAAAGGAGAGCTGGTTGGGGAAAAAAAGCATCAGAAGAGCCATTTTCCATTGCAGAAGGCAGATCTACAGCAATCAAGTCATTCCACACAAGCCTACTGATTTCACAGAAGTCAAGTGAAAAACTGGGTGCAGGGGGAGGTGGTTCAAAGCCTCCTGCCGCAGCATGTTTGGAATGAAAAGTTTCGGGGGAGGTTAATGACTTTTCTTTTTCTTTATGTTTATCTCAGCTTCAGTGGTGATGTGATGTGCTTTGCCTTCAGCTCCAGGAGCCCTGGAGTATCACTTGCACTACAGCCTCGAAAGGAAAGGCCATGTCTGAATTCAGGGGCTGTTGGGCTAGTTGCTGAACAGACACCCTTACCCCAGGCTGGTTTAGGATCTAGATCAGTAAGACACTGCATGGGAGGAAAGAAGCAGCAGGATCCTCAGCATGCTTGAGAAAGGGTGGCAGAAAAGATTCAATCATCTGTCTGCGGGCATGCCGTTCTGTGGCTGAGCTCCCGAATGCAATGCTGGTGCCTTACTCCAGGGCCATCAAGGCCTTTCCAGTCAGTCGTTATGGCTGAAATCATATCCCATCTTCCCATTCCCAACAAGGGACTCCCACCCACTGCAGAGAGCAGCACGTCTGGCTCTTGCAATAGCAGGCAACACCGAGCCGTGCTAGTGCAGCCTCAGGGTGGCGTTGCCCTGCAGGGTGTTGGAGCCTCGCACTTGCGGCTCCTGTTGACACCATGGGACGAGGATGTGGTGTTTCCCATCAGCGAAGTCAAGTTCTGCTGCTGTTGTGGTCAGGCTGGTGCCAGCTCAACCAGATGCACTCTGCAGCTGAGCTGAAAGCACTTGTCTATTAGTCAGTGAGGCTGGGAAGGAGGAACCCAAGTAATGCTAGCACATCTGGAAACCCTTACAGCCTTATGGGTGCCCCAATGCAACAGCTGCTGTAGTTTTCCTAAAGATGCTGCCAGGTCCCCGGGCCATTTGGAAAGCAGAAACGATCCCCATCAATGTAGCAGCGAGCCCACTTCTCAGGCAGGCTGCTGACCACCCTCCCACATATCTCAGCCCGGCTTGAATTCCTATGTTGCCATTATCAGTTCCAGTAAGAAAGCAATCAGCCACTGGGACTGGAGCCATAAAACATTTTTAATCCCGAGGAAGCAGTGGAAATCCCACTTCCTTGATAAAGGGCACATACCGCCAAGCCTAGGGCAAATGGGCCCTCGGATGTGCCTTGAGCTCTTAGAGGAGAAAGCAAAATGGGTTACTGTAAAGGCAGAGCTATGGGGAACGGAAAAGAGCAATCACCGCACAAGGTACGTGGATGCCAGGACCAATCCCACAGCCATTACAGTGGTCCCACTCACTTCCCAAGCACTTAGATGTGAGCACCAGGACCAAGGTGACATTGTCTTGGGCCAGCAGGTCTCTGCTGCTGGGCTCTGCAATTTGGAGAAGAGATAACGAGCTGCGCAGAAGAGTTTTTCCTTGTGTGATGGCCTTGCCAGCAGCAGTCTGGCCAGCCAGTTTTGAAAAGTTCAAAATTGATTGCTGGTGGGGGGGTTGTTCCTTTTCCCCACCAACCAGGTGATGGCAAGGTGAAGACCCAGACTGGAGACAAAAGTAACCTTCTCGCCCTCCCAGTTGGCAGAGGGATGAGTTCCCCAGAAGATCGAATTCCCACTGGAGAGGAGGATACCTTTTTCCTCCCTCCCCCCACTCCTTCTGTGACCACCAGTTGGGGTGTCTGAGTGGGTTAAAGGGACAGCGGGGACTCTGGGACTCTCCCACCTTCCCCCCCACCCCAATGCTTGGGCCCTGCGCCTCAGATTTTGTGCAATCTGTGCCTCAATCTTTGTGCAATCTGCACCTCAATCTTTGTGCAATCTGCACCTCAAGCTCTGTCATTTGACATTCCCCTTCAGCGTATAAGTAGGCATAACATTTGCTGAGAGTCCTTTTGCTCTCCCGATCCCTCACTGGTATCAGGAGGGCTTTGCTCAGAGTTGTACCCATATTACCTATAGTTCCTATATCTCTTGTATATATGTTGTATTTTACCTCTGTTCTTTATTATTAAATTTGTATAAAAGTTAAGCCTCCACATGTGCCCTGGCTCTGCTCTGTAGGGAGAGGAGGGGAGCGGCACGCCATAAGCAGCTATGCCTCCCACAGCGCACCCGCACCCACTAAAATCCCTTCATTTGGAGAGGAGGTACATCCTGAGTACCACCTGGGTTACACTTGAAATTCTGCCTCTTTCTAGGGCTGCAGGATCCAACACGTAGGAACTAGTCAACGGCTGCTATATCTGCATCACTTATTTTAGCTTCGTTTAAATCTCCATGGCACTTCTACCCCCAGAGCCCAACGTGCTTTGAAAGCTCCAAGAACGGTGAGCGTGATAGTCAGGTGCGAGATCCTCCCCGTTGGGTTATTTGTATCATGGGGAACCTGGGTTTTGCAATTCCCCACAGAAGCAGCTTCTTCTCTAGAAGAAGAGAGCAGCAGAGCAACCCACACCCTGCACAGCAGCGATGGGGAAGGAAGGAAGCCCCTGGATGTGTCTGTGCAAAGCAGACACAAATCTTGCTTTCTCAAGCCGCTCCCCAACCACAGGAGGGGAAGAATGGGTGTTAGGCAGGCAGGAGTAAACCGAACATTGACACATCTGTTTCCAGCAAAGGTTTGCACTGGTACAGGGACCAAAAGCTGAATCCAAGGAAAGGCTGGAGGAACAGATCACCCCATACACACAGATAGCCCCCGTCTCTCTCTACTGCTCTACGTACTTTGGTCACTGCTGTGAGGTGTGCAATGGTGACCAGTAGTGCCGCTGTCCTGACTGGATAAGAGCCATGAGATAAAATCTGACTTGTGTAAACAGAAGCACAGTTGCGGTGGCATAAACAGGAACTCTCGTGCTGTGTACATCCACCCGAGGTTGTCACCTTGCTGGCAGCCCCACGAATGCAAGCTGCTAAGATAGGTGGGCAAAAGCTCCATTTTTCTGCTGCACTTTTACCTCCAGTTCAGCTCAGATTGGGTTTCAACGCAAGCAAACTTCATCTACACTGAGCTGTATGCTGGGGCAGCACTGGCTGTGGAAAACTGTATGCAGGGCAAAGCTCCAGGCAGCCCAGGCCAAGCTAAGGAAGACCCAGGCAGAACAGAAGAATTGGCAACTTCGCCAACAAAGTGCCTTAACAGGAACGCAGTGTCAGACGATAGCCTTCAAAAGCTAAAGCACTGGAGTGGACATGAAACTGGACCAAGTGGGCAGATGCAGATCCTATATTGGTCGATAGACTTGAGCAGTACGTCAACCTCATCAGACTCCAGGTGCCCTTTGGAAAATGCCAGCTCTGAGCTTTCACTTATGTTTTGACTATGGAAAAAAGGAGCACGGGGCTCAGAAAGGCCACAGCAGGGCAGTGGTTTGGATGCGGTGGATTCCCATTTGAAATTTCTGGATTTACCTTGTGAATCATGTGTTGGTGTTTGCACACCTAAGTCTGCATATTGTGCAGCAGGCTTTGAAGGATCTCATAATACCGTGTGGGCTGTTGTCACAGGCCAGCTGGGCACTGTGAGTGTATCAATTTTATCACAGGCCAACTGGGCTGTTTGATTCAGTTTTTATTGCTAAGGCTGCACCCTGAGCAAAAAAACGTTAGGCCAGCTAATCTCACAGCTACAGCTTTGCCTATGGGGCACAGTCAGTTCCAGGAACAGTTAGTTAATTTATCAGTTTGGTTAAATTTATGACAGACAAGTTACATTTGCAGTTTACAAACTTACAAGCTTATATGAACTAATATTACCTATTTAGGCAAAATACCAAATGCCTCCGAGAAGCACACATTATTGCTTATTAATCTCTCTGGTTCTGGCTGTCACAGGCTGTCATGCTGCACTGCCATTACTGTCAATGCGGTTGTCTAGTGGACAGCAAGCGCTTCAAACTGATGCTCTGCCCAGGATCCCTAGTAGGTAAACCCTGACACCCATACCCATCCATCATCACCCATGGAGCAGCTGTGGCTTACTAGGTATTTGTTCCTGGAGTAGCTGGTATGCTTCATTTAGAGCTTTGTAGACCGCTGTCCTCTCCTTATGCCCACTATGGCACAGTGCAAGCTTTCAGGCCAGCATGCCTCACTCCCACCATGGAGAAGTCACTGCTGAGGGAGAAAGCAGCATTGGAGTGATGCTATAGCTGTAATAGTCCAGGAAATATGTGACAGGCAAGGATTTGGTGGGGAGTGATATAGTTTATTGGACCGACAACATAGGTAGGTGAGAGCTTAGGCAAGCTTTTGGGCACAAGGCTCCTTTCCTCGGCTCTGGGAAAGCAGACAGCTTGAGCTAAGTTACAGATAGATCAACAGCCTGTGTATAACTCCATATGTGAACAGGAGGGAGAGGGAAATTCCCTCTCTCTGGCTGATTTGATCATAAGGAAGTATCCAAAAGGGGCTACGCTAGTGCCAACTGTCCCAACTCTTGTTGTCCAGGTCCCTGTTTGCTGGCCAGTCCCATCAAGCTCATTTCAGAGGTCACTCATCAGCTACGCCTGCGTTTTCCCAATGGAGAGGTCGATCCAACCCAGTTTCTCTTTCCCAGAAGAGAAGCAAACCCCTTCCCAGCCCCACACTGCTCATAGCTTGTAGTACATAGTCCAGAGATACATCCATGTCATAAGGGATATTGAATAAATGCAATGCCCAGTTCATCCCTCTGGCTCAAACTGGAAGCATACCAAGGGTCATGCATTATTGGGAAACGCTGACCACCATCAGGACATTCCCACCGTCTCTCCCCTCCCCAAGCCAGCGGAGAATGATTCCTGCCATTGTGTTCTCGGAAACTCGAAAGGGCACAAAGAATGCAGCTCTTATGCCTTCCCTTGGAAAAGTGCCCCATGGCCTGGCTTATCTCAGAGGTCTGCTCCAGGATCTTGCCTCCCATTTTCCAGTCCTCCTGACTGAAACCCTTTGTGTAAGAAGCTCAGCCATGTAAGAAGTCAATAATCCTCCTCCCTTCATGAGGCTCCCAGACATCAGAGAGCTCTGTCTCCCCTAAGGCCACAAAACACCAGTGATAATCTTCCTAAGGGCAGATTGTTGGTTGGCAGGATTGTGGCCCAGCTGTAGCCACTGAACTTTCTCTTTCTCCCCAGCATGCAGCCCCTCCTGCCTTGGGGGAGGTTTTGTTGTTCTTTCTTGAACCTCCCTTTCAAATGGGAAGATATAAGCTGCTAATGTGGCAAGACTTCTTGTTCAAACAGTTCCACATCTCTCAGGGATGATGCATCTTGCAGAAAAAAGGGAGGATTCTTCTTGTAATTATGTTCTTGTGTATTGAGAAAACCACCCCCCGCATCTGGAGCCTGTGTTACCGGCAGGCACAATATTCTGGAAGTTGCACAGGGCCGGGGATGGGAACAGCCCCCCAAGGCAGTACACAAGTCTCTTTACAGCTCATCTCGCCCATCCTCCTGCGCTGGACCTATTCCACCAGCCCAGCCCATGAAGAGGTAAAGAGAGGCATGCACCAGCTCCTTCCTCTTTACCATCTCACAGGCAATTTGCATCACCTGAGCCTGTCTGCACCCTCCATTCCCAGCTGGTCCCCTTGATGAACTGATTGTGGTCAGCTGGAAGAATACTTCTGCTCCCAAGAGACCTTCTTTAACCCCTTCTGCAGTAGGTGGGAGTTACTCTTGACTCCAAGCACACACTACATCACTCTCACCTCACCTCTCACCAGG